CCCTTGAGTTGGCTAGCAATTACAAAGCTTTTAAAAAATTAATAGGAACACATTATACATTAATTTGTTTTATTCATAACTGCAATAGTAAGAAGATCGTTGATTGAAGATTACAATCATTCAGTACAGTGACTTTTGCAAAAATTTAGTTACTGGGCCTAGATAAAAAAAATAAAAAGTTTTCCCCAAAAAAAAAAGACCCATTCAAAGCAATAATTCATAAGAAGAACTAATTTCAGATCAAACAAAAATATAATGTCCACAATCAAAGCCGTAGAGAGAAAAGTTTGGGCCCGGGAGGGAAATAATTATGGGCCCCTATTAGTGGTGTTCCCAGAAGCTACGGTCACCCCCTTCCGCCAACCACCTCACATGATCGGATACATTTAAAATATTTATAATTTTTTTATTTTAAGAAACAAAGTAAAAATACAAATTTGAAAATAAGTTTAGTTTTTATATTAAATGACTTATATAATTGTGCGCAATTTTAAACACATAGACACTATCCACCACTGGCATACACTCATACACGCTCCAAGAGGTTTTTCGACATGTCGGAAGTAGTCGTCAAGGAACTTCGTGTCGAAACAATAACATTAACCATTATAGGGTCAAGCGGGGTAATTGTAAATAATCAGAGTAAACGTAAATGAATATTTCGACTAATAACTTTTGGTAGGTTTAATTGTGTATTGAAAAGTGCTGGTCCATATGTGTGTTGCTATCAAATTAAACATAAATTTGAAATAAAATTATGTGAATTTATTTAAAAAAAATGCATTTACTATTACCCCAATTGTTTACAATTACCCCGCTTGACCCTACACTGCGATTGACAATTAACATATCATCCCGTTCATGAGATTCATTTTTTATAATATTAATAATTAAAAATGTAATTTTAATAAATTAAAACTATTAATAAATAATAATACTTACCTCTACGCTATAAATTGCGTATCCGCGGTTCACAATCGGCGATTAAATAAAGCTGTTGTCTATTCTAGCACTTCTTAGTAGTTATTATCTACACGGACGGCTACGCGATCTTTAATAATAGTTGTAACAATATTATCATTATGTTATGTTATGTTTCAATAATCATTGATGTAAATCGTGACAATCAAAGACAAAATACTAAGAACTGGAAGTCGCCTGTATTCACTGGGAAAACCGTAAATACAGCAGATATTGACCCAAATTACACGATAACAAGTAATTTTACTCCAATAACTTTTTCTGAGAATTTAAATATGTATATACACACCTTATATTATCATTTAGTTAATATAACGGCTTCCATGCTACCAATATCACTAACAACACTGACCGACAGCACCGACTATATTACGCGAAACATTTTGTGTAACTTCAATACTAGAAATTTTTCTACACATCAGTTTTTTCAGATTTTTTTTTCTTGGACGGGTTAGACGGGCTCTGTACGGGCAAGGAGGTCGCTTGTACGGGCTTCGCCCGTACTAGCCCGTACGTGGCTACGGGCCTGANTATACATTAAATTTAAATATTTATACTAACCCTTTTATTTACATTATCTTACATTATTTTACTAATAAATCTAAAACCTTCTATTTCATTCTATTTAACTAATTAAAGTAATTAAATAAATAAGATAAAATTAATATGTAAGATTTCTATGTAATTAGTTCATAAGATAAATTTCCTTTTTATTTTTATTTGAATTTTTTTGTATAATTATCAACATACAATCTGAAACATGAAATTTTGAACATCAATAATTAAAATTTGTACTCACTTTCCTAGGCCAAGATTCATTCGATTTTTTTAATAAAAAAATAATTATGTCATCTGTCTCACCACCAATTGTATACGATGATGTCACTGTCAATACCTTTATGAAGCTCATAGTTGAGAGGTCTCAATCACAAGTATATGCCTTCGATACTCTTTTCATCCTTGAATTAAAAAAAAGTGGGTTTGACGTAATTCATCAACAAATAATAATAGATCTGTTTGAAAAAACACTTCTACTCGCTCCACTCTATGTTAATAATAACCATTGGATTCTTGTAGTAGTTCATGTTTCTAACAAAGACATAACATTTTATGACAACATGAACTGCACCATATCTGAAATGATATGGAAAATACGACAATTCATTATCTTCTGTGAACTCAAACAATATGGTTGTACTTCTCATTGGCAAATATATAGAGGTGAAACAACTACATTGAACTATAATGACGAATGTGGTCCAGGGATAGTGGAAATAGCTGAAAGAATTTCCAGAGGTTATCCTCCATTAATTAATCTTTCACTTTTGAAAAATTATATGAAAAATCAAGCAAATTTTAGAAGAAAACTTCTTACATCTATATCATGACCCAACACAATTTACCAATCCACCACCTCTAAGGCCACCCCACACCAACTGGTATCAAAATCATAGAAACAAACCATATAACGCGTAATCCAACAAGTAAGGATGACACCACACAATATGTTACGATTTCTAAGTTCCACTTTCAAATANATGTTACGATTTCTAAGTTCCACTTTCAAATAAAAGTAATATCTATATTTATGTGTTTATATACCTATGTATATATTCCCTATATTCTGAATGGTTACCGTGCCGCACAAAACAAAA